CTGACAAATAAATGTTAACAATTATTATTGTTTTTACTGTATATCTGAGGATATTACAATGGTTTTAGGATTTTTCTTCTATTTACCACAGTCTTTACTTCTCTGAGTTTATTTTTTAGTTCATTTATTTTGGTTATAGTCTTTCATACTTAAAAGTTTTTTTTTGGAAACCTGATGATCCCTACCTGAATTCACGTTTATGAGGTGTGGGGGGTGATGGTGGGTATTGACTGGTGAACCTCAAAATGGGGTGAAAAGACAGAGAGTTGGGCCCACAAATGTCAGCATCTGTAGGTCTTGCTTCCTGAGCTGGCCAGTCGCCTAAAGAGGAATCCTCCGATTTCCTGCCTGTTAGCAGGTACATTTAGTTCTCAGAATTTTGGGAGTCCAGGGGGGGAAAGAGGCCACTGATCAAAATCAGAATCACCAAATTAGAATCAGTCCCCTTCTCGGTACAGCATCTTATTCCCACAGTCAGCTGTGCAGACCTCAAGTCACGCCCTCTACCTCCTGCTGGAATGAAGGAGCACAGTTGATGGTCTACATAGGGCAGGGGAGGGCCAGAGGGTGGACAGTGTTATCAGCTCCTTCTACAAACATTTCATGAGTCCTCACTCCTTATTCCCTTTCAAAGTCACCCAGTGTCTACAGCTTCTGTGCTCGGTGATACGAATGTTGTCTCGCTTCTCACTGGCTTCCTCTCCGAGCCCTCGCCCAAGCTTGTGTTCCAGTATTCTCCAGTTGGCTAAGTTAGTTCCAAAATTTCAGTAGACAACTCTCATCTGCTCTTGTTTCTTTTCCCATTCCTTTCTTAAAAATGAAACAATTAAAACAATTTTAATTTCTAAAATGCATGTAACCAAGTTTCCCATCTTAACCATTTTTTAGTCTATAGTTCAGTAGTGTGACGTCTACTCACATTCTTGTGCAACCAACCTCAGACGTTTTTCATCTTGCAAAACTGAAACTCTTCACCCATTAAACAGCTTCCCACATCCCCCTCCCCTCAGCTCCCAGCAGCCACCATTCCACTTTCTGTTTCTATGGATCTGACTACACGAGGCACTTAGCATCTAAGTGGATTTATACAGGTTTTGTCTTTTTTGACTGGTTTAATTCACTTAGCACATGGTCCTCAAGGTTCATCTATGTGATAGTATAGGTCAAAATCCCCTTACTTTTTAGGTCTACATAATTTAAAATTGTTTAGTATTATTTTTAATTTTTATTATATTTCTCTTGTTCTTTTATCCTTATGAGTTTATAATTTTGTTTTTATCTTCCCCATTCCTTTGGCCATGGTTTCAGTGGGGCTTCAGGAAGCAGAGATAAACTTGTGAGCCTGACCTAGCCCTTAATAGGAAATCCATATTCTATTTATGACATGTAACATTTAAGGACATATTCTCTGTTGCTTTTGAGAATCTCTTTAACTGTATAAGACTCCTTCAAGGAGAGCACAATAATAAAGTTGCATTAAGTCCTCATTTAACCAAAGAAAAACTTATGCTTTGATGTTAAGCAAAAAAGTTTCTCCAGGGAATTGTCTCCTCAGTATGAGCATAAACTCTCTGCTGGGGAATCTAGCATAGTGGATCTCCAGTTGTGGTCCCCAGACCTGCAGCATATGCATCACCTGGGACTTTGACAGAAATACAAACTCTCAGGCCCCACTTCAGACCTACTGAATCTGACAATCTGGGAGTACAAAACTGCATGTAGAGATCAATCCTTTTAGTCTTATAAGATTTCCAGGCTATGAGGTGGCCATCTGGTAGTAGGTAAATTGTGACGGTTGCCTATCCTACTGTCAGTGCCTAGTTTGGGACTTTTTGTTTCTGAAGAGTCAGGTCTCACCATGTATTTATACTCCCCGACCCCTTTCTTATCCTGCACCCCACTGGCTATACTGACTGAATCAGGAGAGAACCTCTCACTCAAGGCCAGCCAATCCACTGGATGGTCAAGACCAAACCAACTGGATTCCCTCTCTTCAGAATATGAATTGGAAACACCAAAACCGTAGCCAGTGCTGAACTGCTAAAGCTATACAAAACTGAGAGTGATGGCTACTGCGAGCTCTGTGTAGGCACAGCCCCTGTGTCCCCCAGTTGGTCTTTTTGTCTTGAGTGGGTATATATTTCTTGCACCAATGAGCATGATCAGAGACATATTAACTGTGGGTAAGAAATGCTGTCTGATTGGTCATAGTTATGATTATCCATTGCAAACTTGCCCAAACTATGGCTTGTCTAGGCTGTTGTCTTGTGTTGGCAGCTCCATACAAAAAAATTGATGTCTCTGTCCGGTATCTAATTTTCCATGTGTGAAAACAAATTTGGTAGCATTCTCATTTCATTTCGATGCTGAACTCTCAGAGTTCTTTGGCAATTGCTTTTGCTGCTCTTAGAAACTAGTGAAAATTGCTTTGTAAATCAACCACCAAAGAATCAATTTCAGTGATGTTCTTTTAAAGAATTCAAAGATAAATAGTTCCCATAAGCCACCATCACTGCACTCCAAGGTTCAGAAGGAAATATTCTGAAAATGAAAGCAAAGGAAATCACAGAATATTACCCGAACGGTTATGTGGTAGGGAATAAAAGCCAGAATAGGAGTTTAGAAGTGAACGTTTGTTCTGAGAACAAAATTAACATAATAGGACTACCAGGATCAAGCTTTAATTTTTCAGGTCATGGTTTCTGGTTTAAAAATTGATGCAAATAAAAATGATCAGAGAGCTGTTTGCAAAGACGTTTTAAATCCAACATGTCTTCTTTTAATATTATACTATTGTAGAACATCCCAGAATGGGAGAGACCATATAGGTCATCTAATCCAATTATGCATTTCATGCCTGGATCATTTCTATACCCCTAAAGAAATGACAGCCACATGACCCTGCCATTGTGGTTGATGACAGAGGCATCTACCAAGCCTCATATAGTAAATCTACAAAAACCAAACCAAAACCAACATAACAAAAACTACTTTGAAACACAAAATGTAGGATGCTACTTTGAAATAGGGTTCTTGTAAATGGATAAGGAGCGCTCTTTCCTTCTGTTATTCCTGGGGGAAAGAGTGTTATCCACAGTGGCAGCCGCTGGTTATTGTCCCCAGAACTGGTTCTCAGTTTCCGAATGTTTGCTTGGCACATGACTGCTCAAAATAAAGCTCACATTCCCAAGCTTTCCATATAGCTACGTGTTTCAGTCCTATTACTGTGCTACAAATTCTCCCAAAACTTAGAGGTTTAAGCCTTTTTATAATAACAACCTTTCTTTTCTACTCCCAGATTCTGTGGCTCAGGAATTTGGGCAGGGCGTCTGTCTACTTCTGGCTACTTCTGTTATGCTGGGATGACTTCTTTCAAAGCAGTAAAAACCCCATCCAGATTCAAGAAGAGCTGAATTAAGACTTCAACTCTTGATGGGGCAGTGGCAAGGTCACACTGTAGAAGAGCACAGGGACTGGAGATATTTTTGGAGTCACCTTTGGAAAATGCATTCCATCATGCCATGGGTGTAGCCATCTTGACTAAGCTCTGGCCAAGAGGGTATAAGAGGATGGGTGTATTCAACTTACTGGAAGCGTTCGTAGAGGGGTATGCGTGTATCTGTGTGTGTGTGTGTGTGTGTGTGTGTGTGTGTGTGTGTGTGTGTGTGTAGGTGGGGGAGTGAAATGCCCCCCCCTTTCAAATATGAATGAGATGACTGGAGATACAGCATTAATTTTAGACCAGAAACTGAAGATTACAGAGCAATGAGCTAGAAGGAGCCTGGGTACCTGAAGTTCATGGAACCACCATACCAGCCCTGAACTGCTTACATTTACATTATAGAGAAATAAGCTTCTATATTGCTTAAGCTACTGTATTTTGCATTTTCTGCCACTTGCAAGCAATGCTAATCTTAATAAAAACATCATAAATGAAGGCAGATGATGCAAATTCATCTTAATTACTGGATCTAGGAGGATAATACATATATGGCTTATATAATGCTTACATGGTTAAGAGTTTGACTAATATTGTCCTCTATGAGGATCATGGTATTTTATAAAAGCTTACCACTTAAAATGCTCAACACAATTAGAAGTACTTTACTATGTTTAAAAACAACATGCTATTATGAGGTAGATAAGGAACAGAAAGAGAGAAATACATTCACTCATGAATGCTTACAAGTTGGTTTATAAACAAAGCGTTCATATCAAGGTGAATTTTTGTAAAAGGAACTAGTTTGCTGTATCTTGATTTCTAGAGTTTGAATTTTCTGAGTCATGTATTTACTCTTTTTTTGTGAGTGGAAAGATAAATCAGAATAACTGAACTTGCCCTTGAAATATTTTATTTACAATATGATGGCCGTTGTAGAAAATGAAGTATGCTTTTTAAAAAACCATTTAATTGGCAAAAAGCATTTTTATAATTCAAAATTGTAAACATTTGCAGAATTAAGCCTCATTTCAGAGTCAAGGACTTCTACTTTAAATGTACACGCTTCTAGTTCTATTTCTCTTTATATCAAGTAGCCTATTTTGGAGATATAATTAAAATCACTCAAAGTTAAGGGAAAGGTTTAAAATAAACAATAGGAGCCTCATCAAGCAAAGCTTTTTTTTTTTTTTTTTTTTTTTTTTCTTTAGGACTATCTGCCCTGACCATGACATTTTACTCATAATGTTTCACTATCCTGTTTGAAGGGCATCGACTAACTTTCACAAGGGCCTCATAATGAATGGTGTATTTGTCTTCATAAATAGTAGTAAATGCATCGAGTGGACAATTTACTACTGTCAGTAAAACAAAACATAAACAGGATGTATGGAGGAAGGCTGGATAAAATGCAGCAAAAGAGAAAGAAAGGTGTCACAAGGATGGGGTATTATTTCTTCGTCCAAAAGACAACCAGTAGCACATATGACTTTAAAGCAAAAGACACTGCCAACACTTATTAATGCAACTAGATTCCCGGAGGAAAATAAAATGCCGCTACCGAGGTGGAGGCTGAAGTTTCGGGGCAATTCGCGTGGCAGCAGCTCTGCGCGGTTCCTGGTGCTGAAGGACTTGTGGAATTCGGCCGAGAGGCCCGTCCGCACCGGAGCGAGGACAGGTGGACGGCGAGGTGCACCCCGGGGGCCACCTGCGGCCGTGCTGACAAGAGTCCGCGCCCAGCGCGCGCCCAGCAGCGTCGCCCCACCAACCCCCCGCCGCCAGCCGGCGTCTTCCGCACCGCAACCTTC